GTCATCCTTAATAAATAAAACATTTATTCTTGCTTGGGTGTCGGCGGTGAATCCAGTGGAGAGAAAATCCCCACCACTAACTGCAAACTGGCATCTTAGATCTGCCTCCATTTTGTTGGCAATGCCCCAACTTCCAAAGATCCAATCAATTCCCGAAGGACGAAATCAAATCCCGCCCTCTCATTTCAGATGCCGTTTCACTCGGATATAAGTCACAGTAGAGAAGAAAAGACAATCGCAACTTCCGTTTCATGCCGACTTTAATGTCGATCATGGATCAAATTGAATATATCTGTGCTGTTTAATGCATTTGAGACATTGTGTTTTCCTCAGTGCATAACTGACATGTCACCAGGTATATATTTTTTTATCTGTAAATGTCAGAAAGTCACGCAAACATATTAATTTTGCTGTCAGGAGTGGGCGAGGCTGACGTGAGTGAACGAGCGCTGCTGCGCGCATGCACGCTGAACAGACAGAGCGCAATAATTCTGAGTAAAATATACATTTAGCTCAAATATTTGTTGTTGGACATTAAATGTGTCTTTTGTAGAATTTTAAACCTACATATAAGTGTATTTTTATGATAGCAGTAACTGTAAAGGGACTATTGTAATAGGTACATCAAATTTAAGCTAGTTCAGTACTAATTACTAAGCTCAAATGAGTTAATGTGTGTTTCTTATTGCAGTTTATATATAGTCATTTTCTTTATTATTTATTTTCATTTTTAATTCAGTGATTTTAACTTTTAATTTAGTTATTTTAATGCTTTAAAGAGCCATTTTAGATTGTAATGTTCTAATGTTCTGCTATCTGTTCTGCAAACTATAAAAGGTACAGCTGTCATAAAACCAGAGAGAAAGGCTGCATGGCTAGAAACTGTAAAAAAAAAAAGAAAAAAAAAGAAGTGAAATAATAGTATGTGAGAGAGTAGTAATATCATTGGGTTCCTATTGGTCAGTGTTAGAGGAACTCCGCTTAGTCTGACAGTTAACCTGCTTTAGACCAGCTTGATCTAGGCCCATGTTAAATTTGCTATATAGAACTAAATAATTTGACAATGAGTCAGACTAACTGAAATAAGCCTTATGAAACAGGCCTCGAGGCATTAAAAGTGATCATATGTTCTCCATTGCATGGTATTGCATCTAATTGCATTGTTTTGAATCGAATCGAATCGAAATCGGATCGCACTGCATCGTAACGGGTGAATCG